CAATCTTTTTTTTTTTTTTTTTGTACCCAGGATCAAACTCAGGACCTTGCGCTTGCAAGGCAAGTGGTGGAACCACTGAGCTAATCTTTTGAATACAGTTAGTAGTTACAGAATATTTATTGTGAATTTTTCTTTATGTTTACTGTTAGAAATTCTCAGGAAAGTGGAACATTTTCCTTTACAAATTTGCAAGGTACTAGAATAATAAAAACTAAGATATTTTGAGCTAATAATAAAAGGGTGCTAACTAAAATATTTTGGAGAAGTAAATGACCTCTACAAAAAAGAAAAAAAATCTCCACCTCTGTTATATATGATGGTGGTTGGCTTTAAACTCTTGTCAAAATACTTACTATAGCAAAAAATAAATTCATCTCATATTGTCTTTGTAGAATTGATGTTGGTCAGCTCATGATTAGGATTTGCTTCCAGGAAAAGGTTGCCACTGCAGATGAGCACAAACATTTCCTTTTTGTCAGGAAAAGCAACAAAAAATAATCTAGGTTTCCATTTTTTTCATCTTAGCTGCCAGAAAACTAAAAATCAAATTCAACTCACAGGTTCCCTGCACTTTTAAGGTGCCTGGGAACATTTATTTATGTGGGACACTTTGATTTTCTTATGTTATACTACATATTAAAAATTTATTTTCCAATTCTTCGGTAGACATGATAGATTTTTATAAGAGAATTAATCTATATTGAATTAGAAAAATATATTGAATAATTAATTTAATGTTCTTTTAAATATTTGCAAGTCATCAATGAACTGGTCTCTGAAGATTTACGGGAAGGCAGAGATTGCCTTCCCCACACACCACCATCAACCAGGCACAAACCCTGGGTAAAGCAGGGGCTCAGTGAATATTTGCCAAAATGGGTGAAATTACCTAACACAATCTGAATTGATTTGCTAACTTCTTGGTCTTCTATTTGGAGCCAAAATGATCTGTACTAAATCTGTGCTTTCAGACTCAGCTAACAAATCCAGGTAGAAGCTCAAGTTTCAAAAGTAAAAGCTGTGAGCCAAAATAAACCTTACCTCCTTAAAAAAAAAAAAGGAAAGAAAGAAAGAAAGAAAAGAAAGAGAGAGAGAGATAAAGAAAGAGAAAGAAAGAAAAACTTAACAGGAGAAAAAGATGATTTTCAAAGCTGTAAAGTTAAAATAAATTGCTTTGCTGTGATTGAATTTGGGGTCAGGGCCCTAAAATGACCTATTGCTGCGAATGGGAATCCATTACACCTTTTGAAACCTAGACTACAGGGTCCTAGTTGCTTAACTTCAAAATCTATCAACAACATTAAATCAATGACATTCCCCTGGTTTTTATTCAGTGAAATCTTTGAAGTACTTTTAATAAAAACTGAAGATGATCACAGTTACTGTATCCGAATACAGTAATACAGAATTCATGACTGGTCTTCTGAGTTTGGCCCGTGAGAGAATGGATTCCAACTCCACTGGTAGGACCCATAAGTGGCCAAATACCTTTCTTGTTTTTACTAGCAATGTCAATAAATGCCTACTTTTACTAATTTTTAATCTGATAATCTGATAATGACTTACTTGGTTTTAGTGCAACTTTAGATAAAGCACATGCTTAACTCATCAGCCAGCCATACATTCCCACATGTCTTCCCCCCTATTTTTAGATCTGACCTGAGAACCAAATCCTTTCATGCTAATACACACAAAGAATAAAGTCATTCTCACCAGACCTGGAAAACCTTACACATAGCTTTGAATCCTGTACTCACAGTTCACTCCTGTGAATTTGCAATTGCAGTCAGGCATGAGTTAACAGAGAGCAAGAACCTGTTCTCCCATTTTTCAAACATTTCAGAGGACAGATGAATTTTCAGATTCCACATTTATTTGACAGTGAAATCAGGATGAGACTTTCTCTCTCTTTCTCTCTGGGTGTTAATTATTCATTGAAAAGCTTTTTAAAGACACAGTTCAATATTTCTTTACTGACTGTTATAAAATTGCAAGTAGTAATTGGAGACCTTGATTCCTAATTATGGGACTGTTTTATTTCTAAGTCACTTTAAAGCCATTTTCTGCAAGTGTGAACAGGCACTATTCCTTGTACATTAAGGTACCATCAGTACCACCATTAGCAGGACTTGCCCCAGTCATTAGTACTTTACTTCTTCCTGGTTGGTTTTGACCAATTCACTTTCTCATTCAGCATCTGCCTCGGCCAAGGCAGGGAGAGGACACAGAAGTACAAGGAGAGCAAGGATATTTGGCCCAGAATTTTCTGTCCTGGTTTGCCCACATGTTGAACTACTATACCTAAGAGAAACTGTATAAAAAACAGACAAGTTTGATGACAGAGGAGTCGTCACGTATAGCAAGTCTAAAATTTCATTAAGTGTCGTTTGGGATGCTGTTAATGTTATTACAGTAATATAAACATCAAAGGAAATCAGATCATACACTCAGGGAAATCATTCCCTGCTGGAAATCCTGTTAGCTGACTTCAATTATGCTATGATTTTGCTCATTCAGAAGGCTGTGTCGGCCTCATTATCTCATCTCCAAATCGCCTGTTTAATGATTGTGCATGCATTTGAAACCCATCAAATTAAGTAAAATAAAATTTTTATCTTGTGTTTGTTTGGGTTCAGATCATAGCAGCATCAAAATTATTCCGATTGCAAGAATTGTGCCTGTGGCCAGTGTTAAAATATAAACAAGAAGGATTGAATCAGAAAGAGAAGCTTTGTGATGAGAAGGCTTAAAGGAATTCCCAAGTAGATGTTTCTTTAAGGATTAACATCTGTTTCTTAAAGTACAAATTAAGATTTGTTAAATTCTCTCCATCCTAGTCTCTAAAAGGAAAAACACATGCATAGATACATTCAATATATTTATCCCCTTTTATTTTCACTTTTATTGTGATAAATGTTACATATAGAAAAGTAGAGAGTCTAGCATAATAAATACATGCCTATCTTTAAAAATAATTGTTACCACTGTGGCATGTTTATGTCATAAATTCAAAGAATTTTAAAACTAATTTGGATACCGTGACATTTCATCCCTCAATACTGCGATATGCATCACTGAAAAACCAGTATGTTTTTCTAAAACCTGTTTTATTATCATATCTTATATAAGTAGCAATTATTCCTTATTAGTATGTAATTTCCAGATAACATTTGATTTCTCTCAATTGTTCTAAAAGAAGTCCTTCAGTGCTGGTTCAAGACAGAAAATACTTATTCTTAAATACCACAAACCCAACTTCAACTTAAATGTATTTGTGGAGGTCCCTATAAATTTTTAAAATTTTAGCTTATTAGCACATGTGTGTAGTATATAATGTTTACATTCCTTGTGGGGAGTTGGTACATGTACATAACACATCCAAATTCCTTTTTCTATCCTTTATCACTTCCCTTACTTCCCTCTCCCTTCATCTCTTGATCCTCTTCCTCTTTGGGAAAGATCTATCTCCCTACTTCCTATTATCTTTTATTCTATTTTATTTTTACTCCAGGTTTCTCATGTAAGAAAAACTATGTGATATTTAAGTTTGTGTGTCTGATTTATTTCACTTAATATTATGGTCCTGAGGTACACCCATTTTCCTACAAATAACCCAAGTTTACCTTTCTTTATGGCAGTGTAGTACTCCATTGTAAATGCCACATTTTCTTTATCCATTCATCTGTTGGTGGACACACGGGCAGCTTGCAAGGCTTAGCTATTATGAATTATGCTGCTATAAATATGGATGTGCATGTATCACCGTAATATGATGTTTTTAACTTTTCAGAAGTTACCTAGAAGGGGACTAGCTGAGTCAAATGTAATTTCATTTTAGTTTTTCTGAGAACTCTCCATTTGGAGAGAGTTCCATACAGAACTGATTTCCATAGCGGTTGTATCTCAATATTGTAAAAGGGTTCCTTTTTTCCTGAAGTCTCTCCAGCATTTGTTATTATTTGATTTTTTTCCCCCTTAAATTCTTTTATTGGTACATTGTAGGTATACAATACGGTTACATTTATCACTGGGTGCTTGTACCTGTACATGACATATCTCGGTTCTTATTTTTTCTCCATTACCTGTGCGCCTTTCACCCCCTCCACCCTTCCCTATTTACATAAACTTCATTTGGATGGGAAAAGAAAAAATTGATTTCTTGATAACGGCCATTCTTTCTGGGATAAGATGGAATCTCAGATGCACTTCTAACCTTCAGTTATACTTAAAATGCAGCCAAAGAATGAAATCCATCTTATATTTCAGGCATCAGAGATTGGTTGTATCAAAAAAATTTTATTTTTCAGTGTTTAATTAAAAGTACTTTTGCTTTCTTTGTTTTAATCTCTGTAAAACAAAATCTATAGGAGACCCAGGATAAGTGGAAATATTTTCTATTGCATAATAAACAGGGAAACTTTCTTTCTCAAAAGTTTTGACACAAGTTCAATCCCTGGCACCAAAAAAAAAGAAAAAAAAGAAAGAAAAGAAAAGAAAAAAGAGTTTGACACAAGTATAGGAAACAAATGCCAAGGTGAAATGGCTTGAATGTTAAAACATCATAACCAACCTGAATCTCACTAGTATGTTGGTCTGAAACGCTGATGATGAAAATAACTTGATTAATTCATTAAGTCTTTTGTAGGTCCTGATTTCCATTGGCAAGCACAGAAAGGACCTACCAATGACTCCTGCAGATGGTCTCTCTGTATTTCTCTGAGGACTTATTAGGGATGCCCAGCCACTAGGTAGTGCCACAAATCTGTGGGGCATATGTCTGTGTCTATGTACCTTGCCATCCAGGGTTGGACAGGGAGAAACTGAAGCTTCCATTGTTTCCAAACAAACCCTTCTTAGTGACCTCACAACATGAGAATGTGGACAGTGTATCTGGGAGGGGAAATCAGAATTGTATCACACCAGTCACTGGTTTGGAGCATCTACTCAAACCAGCCCCCAGGAACATGTTGTGTGAGTGACAGTTTCTCACCCACAGTAACTAATTCCTCATTTTGGATCTCCCAAGTCTGTCAATAGTTCTGTATCCTCCAAGTGTATATGTAACCCGATTTTGCAAATGACACTTGATGAGAATGTCAAAATTGTGGTTTTAGCCAATGAGATTTTTAAAATCTACTTATTATAATGAAGTAATGATATTGGTTATAATTCAGAAAAAAAGATTTGCTGCTAATTTGTACAAAATAAGTATTTCATCAAGAAAAGTTATTTTAAGTTTTAAAATGTTCTTAAAATCTTACTCTTGGTATTGTCTTGTGAGATGCTAGAGCAATGATTTACAAGCATGATATTTTCTATGAGTACTGATAAAATGAGAAAGATAAGGGCAACATTTTCAAAGTCAAATTTATTAAATTTAAAGAACTAATCTTCAGTAAGAAATTGTCTTTTTTATGTCTGTGTAGTTTTTTCAGTGTCAACATTGTCATTCTTTCATGAGATGATGATAGTTGATGTCATTTTAATAGCTTTGGCCAAATTTAAGATAAAAATTATGTAATCCATGTAATATAATTTTCATATTGGAAAAAGAGTATGTTCGTGCTTAGGCTATCCATTGCTCTAGAGCACACCAGCTCAGAAGCTGTGGTATTTAAATAGGAATCTTTTATTTGTTCAGTGGTGATATCTCTGCTCTACCTGCCAGTGGGTGGCTCACCTGGGATGGAAGAATCACTTGGTTAGTGTGAACATATGACAGAATTCATGCCAATAAGATATAAGAAAAACTTATTGGGTTGAGGGAGAATCATTTAGAAAGAATGACATGGGGAAGAAACATTTTTTGTTCTGCTAGACATTGCTACCTCTGCAGGTGATACCTGAAACTGTGTCACCCACTAGAAAACCATGATGGAAATTGGAACAAAAGTAAAGTTAGCATCTGGAGGTTGACAGCACACAAAGATGGAAGGAACTTGAAACTTTGATGATGTGGACTGGCTTGGAACCATCTTGCTACTTATGAACCAATTACGTGATGTGAATATTCTTCTGCAGAGTGCAAAATTTTTTCTTTTACTTACAACCAAAACATTTTGACTGATAATCCATGATTTTGTTGCATAAGTCAACATTTGGAAAAAAAAGAAAGAAAGAAAAAGATAATAAAGGATACAAATGCCAAGTGTCAAAAATGAAGATAATTTTACAATAATGAAGCACAGGAACAAACTAGCACATGAGAAGTGTATTCCAAGGGAGTAATTATTATTATTTTTTAAAGTTGTCCTTGTTAAACACACTACACAATGCATTACAATAGTGTCATATCCATTGTGATTTCTTTTTGTTTAATCTAGAAGAAATTCTGTTTAATGCTAACATGTCTTTAACATTTAATAGAGTCATGCATCATTTAACAAAGAGGATATGTTCCAAGAAAGGTGTTCTTAAGTGGTTTTGTTATTGTGTAAACATCCCAGAATATACTTTAACAAACCAAGATGGGTGTAATGTCACTAGGCAATATAATCTTATGGCACTACCATCATTTTCCATCATTCATGGAAGCCTCCTAATGTGACACATGCCTCTATTTTCAAGACTAAATTTTTAACAAAAAAGAGCAAGTTTCAACTCAAAGCCACAGGTAATGATATTTAGCTAAAATTCAGTGATATCATTTTGCTTTAGTTGAACTTACTTTCACGATACATTCTGTTAATGGTAAATTATACTGTTTTTCTCTTTACAGTAATAAGTTCCTATTTTAAAGTAAGAACTATTTAAAGATAAATGTTAAGTAGGTATTAGTGGAGTTGGTGCATAGATATGACAAAAATTATGAAGTGGCTCAGGGATGCCTGGAGTTCAGAGGTTCACAAACTGGAGGGGTAGAGAAGATACATATACCACTGCCATCGGGCTGGAATGTTGCTTTCCAGTGAGACTGTTTATGAGAATCTTTTTTTTTCCCATTAAGTTTATTGGTACATTTTAGGTATAAAATACAGTTGCATTCATCATTGGGATCTTGTACCTTTACATGATGTATCTTGGTTCTTATTTTTTC